TATGGTATCTATCTATGGTATCTATCTATCTATCTATCTATCTATCTATCTATCTATCTATGGTATCTATCTATGGTATCTATCTATTTATCTATCTATCTATTTATCTATCTATCTATCTATCTCTATCATCTATCTATATCTATCTATCTATCTATCTATCTATCTATCTATCTATCTAACTATGGTATCTATCTATGGTATCTATCTATCTATCTATCTATCTATCTCTATCATCTATCTATCTATCTATATCTATCTATCTATGGTATCTATCTATGGTATCTATCTATCTATCTATCTATCTATCTATCTATCTATCTATCTATCTATCTCTATCACCTATCTATCTATCTATATCTATCTATATCTATCTATCTATCTATCTATCTATCTATCTATCTATCTATCTATCTATCTCTATCATCTATCTATCTATCTATATCTATCTATCTATCTATCTATCTATCTATCTATCTCTTTCTCTATCTCTATCTATCATATCTATCTATCTCCTCTATCTATCCATCATCTATCTAATTATAGTTATTAAATAATTAAACCAATATTAAAAACAGGAGGCGCGATTGCAGCTCCCTTGTAAGTCACAAACTGAAGCGGCAGAATAATTCAGCCAGAGAAAATCCAGCTTCCTTGTCGAGAGCAAAGTGAGCCTCACCTTTAGTTTTCCCTTTGTGCTGTTCCGAAAGGTGTTCGGTCCGCGTCCGGGTGATGAGTTCTACGTTGGAAGCGCCATAAACCTGTTGACCGAAGGGAGGCCTTTGTACGTTTTCTGCCGCGTCCCTCCCCCGAGGCCCCTTCCTGCCCCATCAGCGTTTCAAGCTTCTAGTCCTCAGTCTCAAGAGGACTCACCTTGGCTTCGTACCCGTTCACCACCTCCGTCTTTTCACTCCTCCAGCCTAGAATACCCGTCTTGTTCCTGGTTGAGAGAGAGAGAGAGAGAGAGAGAGAGAGAGAGAGAGAGAGAGAGAGAAGGGATCACTGGGAGAATTGCAATTACTCCTCGACTTATGACCTGTTCTGACCAAGGCTTCCTGAGACAGTAACCATCACACGCTGTTCCCAAAACCCTTTTTTTTTAAATTATTTCAACGGCTGTGAATTATAGGCATTCCCAGCCCATAATGAGTCCCAAACAGTTTGTAAATAGTCCCGCGGAAGTCTGCCACATTCCTTCAGGATAAGGCCGATCAGCACCCACCTTTATCTCCCTTGAAATGCTGCCAAGGACTAAATTGCCTATTAGTTATACGAGGCCAAAATGGGGCACGAAGTCAATACAGAGCTTCAAATGACCAGAAGGAACAAAGTTGCTTCCTGCAAAGGCTCCTGTCCCTTTGCTCCTCCTTTATGACTTATGGGAGGGGCCAATCACCTCCAAGCCTTACTCCCGAATCGTCCTTTTTGTCGTAATTGTTCCTGCCTTCTGGCAGCTCCGTGCATGCACACGCTGGGAACAGGCTCCCGCTGTTCCTCTGCCTCGCTGATATCTGATTCTGGAGGCTCCAGAATCGGCACGTAACTCCCTGATGGCCCTGGCTCCATCTCTGCGTCGGACGCAGGACCCTCGTCCGAGCCCTCCCCAGACTCCAGGACTGGGCCATGTCCCTCCCCACTGTCCGACTCTGCTGCGGGCCACAACACGACCACTTGTTTAGTGACCGTTCCAAGTTACAACTAGCCCGGAAGAAAGTGATTGAGGATCAGTGGCACATTGGCGGCCATGGCGGCATTCCTCCCGCCCCCGCCCCCCCCCACGTGGTCATGTGATCAAAATTCAGAGGCCTGGCAACTGACTTGTATTTATGAGGGTTGCACTGTCCCCATTTGTAAAAACTTCCCGGGCAGCTTCCAGCAAACAAAGTCAAGGGGAGGGGGGGGGAGCCAGATTTCTTTAATGACTGCAGGACTCACTTAACAACGGTGACAAAAAAAGGATGTAAAATGGGGCAATCATTTAACAATTAACAATTCATCAATGCTGGGTGTTTGTAGAGAGGAAGAGGAGGAGGAGGGGGAGGAAGAGGAGGGGAGAGAGAAGAAGAAGAGGAGGGGAGGAAGAGGAGCAAGAGGGGGAGGAAGAGGAGGAGCAAGAGGGGGAGGAAGAGGAGGAGGGGAGGAAGAAGAGGAGGGGAGGAAGAGGAGGAGGAGGGGGAGGAAGAGGAGGAAGAGGAGGGGAGGAAGAGGAAGAAGAGGAGGGGAGGAAGAAGAGGGGAAGGAAGAGGAGGAGGAAGAGAAGGAGGGGAGGAAGAGGAGGAGGGGGAGGAAGAAGAGCAAGAGGGGGAGGAAGAGGAGGAGGAAGAGGAAGACAAAGAGGAGGGGAGGAAGAGGAAGAAGAGGAGGGGAGGAAGAGGAGGAGGAGGGCGAGGAGGGGGAGGAAGAGGAGCAAGAGGGGGAGGAAGAGGAGGAGCAAGAGGAGGAAGAGGAGGAGGGGAGGAAGAGGAAGAAGAGGAGGGGAGGAAGAGGAAGAAGAGGGGAAGGAAGAGGAGGAG